CAGCCTAAACAGCGGGAATGTGAGCATTAGTCACAAGCCTATAGAATATAATCTTTACTTCAGTGTTTCTTGCGGTTTTGCATGCAAGGAGTCACGTGCAAGGTGCAACAAATGTAAAAGTGCGTGATAAAGAAGAAACTGCTTAATTTATGATTTCTAGATTGACAACCAAAGTAGTGATAGAAGATCTACTATGTTTTGAAGAAACCCACAACATTTATACCTGCTTCCTTAGTCTGGACCTTCTAGCAGATTCTCGATTTGATTGTTTCCGCCTCTCACGTTTCAGCTCCCGCTCATTCTAAGGAATCCAAACATACCCACAATACTTTAGAGTCAGCAAATAATAAGGATACATCATTGTTATTACATGTTTTACACATGTACCCGATGTACTACATATCTGAACTGCTATAATGAATTATATGCAGACCATACCTGTAACCAAGCTTCTGCAGGCAATACGGAACAAGGTTGTGGGGCACTTGTGGCATTTGATTTAGAATGAACACTGGAAGGGTTTCTCAGCTCCAGGGCAGTGGTCATACCTGAAGAAACTATAGGTCCAACTATATTTCCTGCAACAGTTACAGGTACAACTGCCGTCTTCTCTTTGGAAACGGGACTGCCTTGTATCTCAGTTTTCCCTTCTCCATCTGCTTGCACAATGCAGAAAAGAACAATCATCAATACAAATGTTGATACTCTACTCTAAGCTTCAGATGCTTGAAGATAAAATAACGCACATTGGCTGGTAAGGCATTTTATTAGTAATTGAAACCATGGGACACCAATACCTATACTGTATCATGTCTGCAATTGCAATAAAGCCCATCTTAGAGGCAACTACATTTATCAAACTAATGGCAAAGTTAAAGCTTTGGCAATTTCACCTTACTGAGCAAATATTTTATAACAGCGTTTAATTTATCAAGACCCCACTCAATAAACGGATTGGACACCGTGTGACGATAACAGAAGAATAATAGTGATCCCAGGACAACTCTATTATTCATCAAGATGTGACACTTGGTGAAGAACAGAGTCATACCAGTGGTTGGTGTTCCCTCACGGCTTCTTTTCCTTCTTGTTTGATTAGCCTGAGCATAAGATGGGCAAATATCATATTTTTAATAGCCATATATGGAGTTCTAAAACTCCTTTTTGGGTGATTCCAGCGCTGTTGGAAAGCTAACATCCAAGGCTATAACTTTCACGAAGACTATAAAGTCCAATTCTGAAAATCAAATGCAAGCCCAGCGCATTAAAAACGCGCTCGGCTCAATTCTCAATCGGAGACCTACAGAGGTCTATTGCGCCCGGCGTGGTTCTCCCCGCGCCCGGCGCGATTCACCCAGAGATTTCTCATTTCAAATCACGCCCTGTGCAAAGAACTGCGCCCGGTGCAAATTCAAACAGGAACCCTTACCTACTTCGAAAATTTCATCAAAACCTGCGAAAAATACTAGGAAACCAACATGCAAACCATCCAAAAGTTTACACTTCCATCAAACATCAAGAAAAATAACTCATTTTCAACATGCATCCAAAATCAAGGGAAAACCCCAAAATTTCACCCAACCCCGAAAAACCCTAAAAACTAGTTTTTCTTAAATCTCAGCCAAAGATCAACCACCAACAAACAGCAAATGAGTTTCTAATAGACTCATTCTCAACCAAAAACAGCAAAGTAACTAGCTTCCCTTACCTCGGTGTGAAGAAAAACCGAGCTCCGAGACAACGGGAAGAAAAAGAGAAGCTTAAACGTAGAAGAACAAGCTTGAGGAAATGAAGAACGGAGGAGGAGAAATGTCAGCAAGATCATTAGCTACTCAACACCTAGCTCACCAAAGAAGGAAGAATCAGGCAACAATGAGTAGGGAAATTGGGGAGAAGAGAATATGAGTGAATAATGAAAGTGAGAGAAGCGAGGGAAAAGCAATAAGCTACGGGTCTCACAATGTTTAACAAAAAAAAATGCTTTATAAATTAGTTAAAGTCTTTTTTTTATAAAGAAAACTCATTGAATATGCAAAAGTTATTCTTTTTTATGAGTTAAATAATATAAACTTTTAAAGAGACTAATAAATATATGATTCTAAAATATTATAATAAAAATTAAAACAATAATAGTAATTTAAATAAAACTTAAGTAAATTTTTTAGATAATTTAAAAATTATTTTATCTCGTCCTTTTCATAAAAAACAAATATGCTGTCATTTATTTTATTTTTATAAACTATAAGTGGTATTTTCTAATTAAAAATAAATTTTGACGTTAATAATGTATACAAATCTTTAGTATTTATCTTTATTATGTAAATTTCTAAAATATAATTATAATTATAATTATAATATAATATAATACCCAAAACACTTAATAATTTTTCGAATAATATTACCATGGTATTTCCAACACTACATTCAACATGGTGTTTTTTGTTATCAACTTGTAATCGAGTGTGTACTGTGATCGTTGTACCCACACTGTATTCAAAAGGTATGTGGGCTTTAAGTTCAATTGAGCATGTGGGCAGCTCAAGATGGAGGAAAGTTGGAACATCCGTTTGGGCCTTATATCGGAAGGGATCTCAAAGACCAAATATGGGCTGTATCCATATGAAGGTCAATGTCCGGGCTCAACTATCTTAGTGCTCATCGATATTTTTGGTACTCAAGTGAATGGAGTTTATTTTGTTCTTCTGGAAAAGGAATAGTGGGAAAAATCATATTTTTCCAGTTATACTATTAGATTGATGCATCCACAGGCTTTGACACATTTTTTTTCTACCCACAAAATTTGATACTAAAAAGATCAAGTACAATTTTTCACATATCAACAAAAATAGAAAAGAAAGAAAAATACTACATTATAAGTAAGAAGAATAAAAAATATATTATTTTATTTTATTCAAATAAAAAATAAAAATACATAAATAAAATATTAACAAACATCATTAAAACATATAAACAAAATAAACTTTAATAATACTAAAATTAACAGTATTAATAAATAATGAGATACAAAAAAAAAAAAAA